GATTGCACTCAGGATGATCTGCTCCATAACTCTGCCAGGCACCGAGGTCAGGCTGACAGGCCTGTAGTTACTAGGGTCAGCCTTGCATCCTTTTTTATGGATTGGGGTGATGTTTGCCAACTTCCAATCATATGGGACCTCCCCAGTGAGCCAGGACTGTTGGAAGATGATGGAGAGCGGCTTGGCAAGCTCTTCTGCCAGCTCCCTTATTACCCTAGGATGGATCCCGTCTGGTCCCATAGACTTGTGAGGATCCAGATGATTCAGTAAGTCACCAACTATTTCCTCCTGGAATACAAGGGGGCTATTTGGTTTCCTATCTCTGTCTACCAGCTCCAGAGGCCAGTTGCCTTGAGGGGCCACCTGTCTTACCGGTAAAAACTGAGGCAAAGTAGGTGTTGAGTACCTCAACTTTCTCCTCATCTCTATCCTCTTTGCTTTTAGAGGAATTCTCTTAATAGTAACAGCACCAAACACTGCATTTCTCTCTGCCACATACTCTGTAGAGTCTTGAGCAAGTTACATTTCAGCTGATCCATCTGCAAGGCAGCAGCTCACACAACTTGGGTGACTGTCATCCACTAACATTTCGCGCCTCCTGTTCTTCTCTGATACTTGGACAACTGTTTGAGCTACGGCAGGTTTAACAGATAGGTAAAAGTTTAAGAAGTTTGTTTAAGTCATTGTCTTATGTATTGAAGAGAGATGTGATTCATGGTGTGAAAAGGACTGAGGCCAAAGAGTTTGTGGAGGAGAAGGGGTTAGCAGGGATAAAGGGATGTCAATCCGTAGGTAATTTGTCTTCATTAGTCTGATGTCTACTTCCAGCATGTGCTGATTTACTTTATGGCTTGTTCTTTGTGCTCAAATGAGGAAAAGTCTTTCCTTTTCTTGGCAAGCTGGGCTAACAACTCACGTATTCTATTGCAGAAATTGTCTTGTGTAATCCCCTTTATAGGCTGGTCACAATGCAATATAACGCAAGCTGAATTTCTTTCTTGTCTCAGCTTGTGTTAGCTGGCTGTGCTAGTCTTGCTAATGGTAGAAACCTTGCAAAGTAAACACGTGTACCTCTCTTCCTACATTCCCTAAAACAACTTAATAGAGCTTTTAAATAGCCATTTCGGCTTGAATAGCTTTTTTTTTTGGCCTTTGTTTACATCTCTAGTGTCACAGGGTTAAACAACAGTGGATATTCATATGGTCAGTCTGCCAGTCTCTGCTTGTTTCATAAGCTGTGGGTATTTTTTTAATCACTTTGAAGAAATGATTAGAAACTTTGAAGAAGTTTCTGTAGAGAAATGAGATTACTATCCAACAAGAGATGGTACTTCAGTTGCTAGGTTCTTGATTTCAAGTTTGCATGAGGAATATTGCTAGTTAAATGCTTCCTGACTTTGCGCCATCTGAACAATCTTATTAGAGCACAGGTTCATCTCTTTGGATTTCGAGCCTATTCTACTTCCTCACCACAGCTTAAGTTACAGATTCCTGGTAGTTTTAACACATTTGACTTGATGTAGCTGAAGAGCTCAGAATGTGTTTGTATCAGCTCTTTTCATTTGCTAAGTTTGCCCTTTTGGCATTCAAGAAATCTAGTAACTTGACACTCCTTAATTATTTTTTTCTGTTTCAATTTAAAATCAATTAGCTTATGTTTTCCTGACATAGGGTTATTTTCTAGGAGCAGCTCTTCTGTAATGTTCTCATTAATCACCAAATTGGTATATGAAATTATATTGCCTCTCTCAGTTCACAGATTATTTTGTGAAAAAGAAATCTGTGTGCTACCACATCTGGGAATATATTGGAGCATCATCCCTGGCAGTGTTTGTTCTCTGACTGAACATCGTAGACATAGGCTCTCATAGTAACATATGAGAAGAATGTTCTCCCTCCAAACAATATTTGGAATTTCATTTTCTGTCCTTTAGCAGATGTTGCTTTATGATCTTTTCTGAAATGATTTTGACTTAAATCAGTTTTGTGTCATAGTACTCTATTTTTTTTTTTGTTTTTTATTTCTGGTGTCTTGTATCATTAACGCTTGGTGTTCCTTTGTCAGAGTTAACTTTTTATGTGTTTTTCTTGGACCCTTTAGTGTCTTTCTGTCCTTGATATTTTACCACCTTCTCTTCTTTGCTCTGATGTCTGTTGTCATGGCCTGTACTAATAATTTTGCTGCTAAAACACAGTATTTTAGTATACGAATACCTCCTGTTGAGGGGTGGTTTTTTCTGGTTTTTTCCTTGTTCCTCAGCTCTCTGCAGATAGTTTCTGTCTTCATTCATTGTACTTATTTCTCTAATTGCATTATCTGACTATTGCAAAGTCAGTTTTGATAGGGTTTTTTCCTTTTTTTTCTGTCCTGTGTGGACTTTTTGCTTCCAGCATTGAGAAGTTCATAATTATCTCCAGGATTTCTGCTGTGAATGTGTCAAGCACAGACCTTAGGCTAGCCCATGTGCTAGAGCAGAGACACTTC